TGGAAGCAAAATATTTTTCCAAATATGAAAACCAGCTGTAAGTTTGTCATTTTCCTAAGAAACAACCCAGTAACAGAATGTTTTTCACAACACCAACGGTAATTGGTCAGTTTAACCCCAGTTCATCTTTCTGGACCCTACCCACTGACACACTTTACCATTATAGCATCCAAACATGTTATGAAGGTCAAGAAATTTAGCCCTTGTCCACTATAAAAGCTCATCACGATGTCTCAGTTGACCAGTATCAGTCGAGAGTGTGGATCAAGTTGAGTCTTTTCGTTTTAGGTAAGTAGGACGGTTCCTTTCGTGTTTATATTTTCGAACCTAATCAAAGGACTCAGAAAGGTTCAAATTAGGCCTTCATACTTGGAAAAGATTATTGTTTTTAAAACTTAGTTTATTAGAAACATCATATTCGACTGGTGATAGGCCTACAATTACGTAATCTAATTCAATGATCTTAACTTTTACTACATCATTCATTCTTTGATTTGTTTCAAAATTTCATATTTCAAAAAATTCTCTTGTTTGTTTCTTCACAGATTCAAAAATGGTTTCCAGAATTCATTTTAGTGATACTTTTATTTTCTTTAACACGGAAACCTTAAATTATAAGCACCACTTAGAATTTATTATCTGATGATTTTACTGATTTTCAAAATATTTTTTTACCCTTAGGTTGAATCCCCAGAACTCTTTAGTCACTATGAAGTTCGTGATTTTTGTCGGTAGGTGGCACACTATCTGCTTTTAAATTCTTTAGTTGTGAAATGCTTAATAATCTTATGAATTCTTCAATAAGTTGTTTAATGCTTAGTAAAGGGAGTGTTAATCAAATTCTGATATTTTCTTTTTTCCAGCACTACTCTCCGTTGCTACTGCTGTTGCTTTATCTCGGGTAAGTTAGTTTTCTTTTGTTTTAAACCGTTTTGTAAGTTTTTGAGATTGAATATCCTGTAGGTATCTGAAAAACAAACATACACGTTATTGCAGGCGAAACGTGCGGCCTATGAACTTCCATCTGGATCCGAGTTTATTGTTGGAGCAATCAAAACTACCTTCTCCTGTGTTGGTCTTCACTCGGGGTACTACGCTGATGTTGACAACAACTGTCTGATCTTCCACATCTGCCACCCACAAACTCTCCCTGACGGAACCGTAGAAGTTGGACATTGGAGCTTCTTCTGTGGTAACCAGACCGTCTTCAACCAGATGAGCTTCACCTGTGCTTTCCCAGAGGAGGCCGTGCCTTGTAGAAACGCTCCTGATTTCTACTATCTTAACAACAACATCGGGAATGAGAATGCTCCCTTCCTGACAGACGATGACGTAGCTAGAGCTTATGCAGCCATCAGATCACAGTAATCCCTACATCTCTGCCAGTCCTCTATGTGATATCGTATTAAGGAAAACTACAGCAAAGCAGAACAAACTTCACGAAATTTCAGAGATTAAACATAATCCTGCTATGTTGTATATAAATATGTTGTTATTAGAAATAAACTGACTTTTTTTTTCATTCAATCATAAAACAACTCTTGCCCCTTCTTAACGTCCTTGTAACCTAACAACCTCTCTGCCACTGTATACCGGAATAAAGCGATTTACTGGTCTATACACTCAAACTTGACAGTTCATTCTAAATTACTACAAACTGGAACTAGTGTATTGTTTCCTTACTGGAAGATATGTTGCAATACTTCAAGCGGAAATTTCTTAAAAGTATTTTTACCCCATGCTCCCCTTACCTTCGTAGATAAAGCCTCTGACTTAAAGGGGAAAATTCGTGGAATTTTTCGAATATTTTATCCTTAAGTCAACGTTATTTTCGTGTAATAGTACATTTATTCCAATAGCAAGTTCGTGTTTCTGAGTTATATACAATTACGAGAGTGGTTACTGTAAGAACCCAGACGTCGCCAAACATATTCTCAATTTTTACCGTACGTACACACGAAAATACGACATTCTTCTTGAAGACTGGCACTCCAGTTTAAAATCTTTATAGTTTTGTTCTTCTAAACCACTAACTGGATACTAATCACAATATTAATGTAAACCAATTAAAATTCTTAACCATCGGTAAAACATGTATGAAACTTTTTACTAAACAAAATATCTTAATCATTAAAATCGCTCTTGCTATTACCAAAAACCTGTTCTCCCTGTAGCTAAGATTGTATCCTTCCTAATGATACAATTTCTTCAGAAACAGGTTCATATTATATCAAATAATACAATATGTTACTAAATAACGGGTGAGATGTTATATCACAATAATACAGTATGTTACTGAAAAACGGGTGAGATATATTATATCACAATGTTACAGTATGTTTCTAAATAACGGGTGAGTTATATCTCAATAACACAAAATATTACTAAATAACGAGTGAGATATATTATATCACAATAATACAGTATATTACTAAATAAGAGGTGAGCTATATTATATCCCAATAATACAATATGTTTCTAAATAACGGGTGAAATATTATATCACAATACTACAGTATTTTACTGAATAACGGGTGTGATATATTATATCACAATAATACGAAATGTTACTAAATAATGAGTGAGATATATTTATCACAATAATACAGTATGTTACTGAATAAGGGTGAGATATTATACCACAATAATACAACATATTCCTTAATAATGGGTGAGATACTATATCACCATAATACAATATATTACTGAATAACGGGTTATATATTGTATCACAATAATACAACATATTCCTTAATAATGGGTGAGATACTATACCACCGTAATACAATATGTTACTGAATAACGGGTGAGATATATTATATCACAATAATACAATATGTTACTGAATAACGAACGAGATAAGAAGACACTATGCTACTAAATTACGAGTGAGATATATTATATCACAATAATACAACATATTCCTTAATAATGGGTGAGATACTATACCATAATAATACAGTATGTTACCGAACAACGGGTGAGATATATTATATCACAATAATACAATATGTTACTAAATAACGGGTGAGATATTATATCACAATACTACAGTATTTTCCTAAATAACTTGTGAGATATATTGTATCACAATAATACATTAGGTTATTAAATAACAGGTGACATTCTATATCACATGCTATATCACAATAATACAGTATATAATAAATAACGAGTGATTTATATTATATCGCAATAATACAACATATTCCTTAATAATTGGTGAGATACTATACCATAATAATACAATATGTTACTGAACAACGGGTGAGATATATTATATCACAATAATACAATATGTTAC